CAGCGACCAAGGACTCTGTCGGGCTGCAGGCAAGAGAGTCAGGTATATCCCCAAGCTCCGTTTGAAATCCCAGAGGGTTCATCAGGCGCCTGGGACAGAACCACCTAATCGGTTCCACCTCCCTGCGGTGGGGGAGTGGTTTTTGAAAGTCCAGCCTCAGTAGGAAGTGATCTGACCATGACAGGGGCGAGATCTCAATGCCCTCTAATTTCAGATCACGTCTCCACTGCCCTGAGAGAAACACGGGGTCGAGCGTGTGTCCCGCTGTATGAGTTGGGCCCAGAATTACCTGGGTCAAGTCCATGGAAGCCATGAACTCCTGCGCCCCATCAGAGCATTCGCCAAGAGATGGCAGGTTGAAATCCCCCAATACTATAGGTTTGGGGAATTCAACCACCAGTCCAGCTACTGACTCCAGGAGCGCAGGCAGGGCTGTTGCAACGCAGCTGGGAGGTAGGTACATTAGCAACAAGCCCGTTTGACCCCCAAGGTCCAACTTCACCAGAAGAGACTCACATCCGACAATCTCCGGAGCAGGGATCCCACGAGAAACCAGTGACCTTCGGATGATGGCAGCTACTCCCCCACCCCTTTTCTGATGTTGCGGTTGGTGAAGCACCTGAAACCCTTCAGGGCACATTTCAGAGAGGGGGACTCCTCCCTCATGGCCCAACCAGGTTTCAGTAATACATGCCAGATCTGCCCCCTTGTCTAATATCAGGTCCCGGACAAGGGGAGCTTTGTGAATCACAGATCTGGTCTTTGAGATGAGCAATTGGGGCTGGAATGAGGGAATTCTTAGGTCCCTTCCCAATAGTCAAAATAATTAACCCAGTAACAGTTCAACTCAGCCCGCCTAGAATCCTAGGGAAGATTCAACCAGTTTTTCACTGTAGCTTGCTGAAACCTGTGATTGGGTCTAATTTAAGACCACTGACCCAACCAACCCCTTCTCCAGTAGTAAATCAGGGAGAAACTCACTACAAAGTGAAAAAAATAGACTCTAGATTATATAGAGGTCATTTACAATATTTAGTACATTGGGAGGGATACCCTTTGTCTGAAGCTACATGGGTAAAAAGTGGAACGTAAAAGCTGACAAGTTAGTGAAACAATTTCATGATAAATTTCCCGATAAGCCAAAGAGGCTCCCTGGGGGAGGGAGGTGGTTAGTTATACTTATGTTAACCCCCTACATTATTCTCTTTACAGGTCATGCTTTTCTTCTGAGGGGAGGCTGCCTGTCAGGCCTGCAAGCCATCTTTTCCTTTTGGGACTTTAGGCCTGCAACACTTTCTATTATGCATTTTCTACTGTGGGAACATGGGAGGGGGGATTATACGGAGTTGGGTGATATGTAGCCATAACAAAATTATTTCGGGAAAGCCAAGGTCACTCTTTATCTCTACACCTGTCCGGAACTGGATGGGTAGAAGCTGCCAGTGTGGCCGTGGGAGATTGGGCCATGAATTTGTTGGTGTAGGGGCAGGCTCTTGAACTTTCAACTGGTTGAGAAAACCTGGAAGCTTTCAGATTCGGGCTTTCCCAGATGTGCCAACATGGCTCTCTTAATAAATTAGAACTTTGAGGAATCCTTTGCCTTGGACTCTGGTTTACTTTTGGATGCTATTTGGAACCTTGACAACTAGAGGCTAGTGAGGTTAGCATAGCGAGGTAGCAAGAAGGACTCATGCCCTGATTGTACAGGAGAACAGATAATTTTTTTGGGGGGGGGGGCAATGCAGCTCCCCAGTGTTGGCTAAGTGGGATATTTTTCACGGGTCGTTCCTGCATGAATGATTGAGAGCCAATTTGAGCTAGTGGTTAAGGAACTGGGCTAGAAACTGGGAGACTGTGACTTCTAGTTCTGGCTTAGGAAAGAAAACCAGCTGGGTGACTTTGGGCCAGTCCCTCTCCCTTAGCCCACAACTTCAGGCTCAGTCAACAAGCCAGCCAACCAATTCCTACCACAACTAATAGATCAACAATCTGCTGAACAACAATCTGAAGCAGAAATTAGGAAGAAGAAAAATCTGCATGCATATTTAGATACAATTTTGTTGTGAATGAATAACAACAGTACCTTTGGGAGGTCAGAGGAGGGAATTAAAGTTTCCAGATCCTTCAAAGTCAGGAAGTCAACAAAACCCTGAAATGTCTTTTCTAGAAACACCCAAAAATTGGTGTGCGAAACATAGCATCGAAGAGAGGAGACTGAAGAAGTCAAAGAAGGGAGGACAAAAGATATTTCAATAAAAATCAGGTAACATCATTTGGTAATTTTTAAATTTCTCAAGTAAAAACATTATCAGGATGTTTAATATTTGAAACATCAAGCTTGATTTTTCCAAAATTAGAAATTTATACTTGATTTAAACATTACCCTTTACTGAGGATGAAAGTAAAGCCTACATCCTTAGTAATAATCATACTGATATTTATTTAAAACATTGATAATGTGAAGTTCCTCTTATGTATCATTTTAACAATCATTACAAGAACTCTGTAAAAGGTAAGTCAACACTCTGAGCCCCATTGGGGGATCCAAGAGCAAAGGGATGTAGCCACAGGGGAACAGCATCCTTAGGCATCTAACCAAGTCAGCTAAATAGGGTTCTTGTGAAAGTGTCCTTCACCCCTTATAGTCTCTGCTGTTCTGCCCCCTCCATCCAAAATGCAGCACACCAGCCTTTTGCTTGGGGCAGCTTAAAGCACTGGGACTGCTCTGATTACTAGTTACCTGAGATCACCCTAAGGATGGCTTCGAAAACTTTCTGTCGGGTAGCATTGCCAAATTGACCAAGAGAGCCATTTAATAGAGTTACTCTGTAATACAGAAAAAGTATTATTACTCTCAACCATTCAGAAAGAATGCAAAGTGATCAAAAGGGCTGATATGCAAGACAGACAGGTGCAGGTGCCATGAAGGCTCCTGTCTACATATCTAGCTTAGACTTGAGTGTGTTGTGCAACAAGGCAACAAGGAATGTAAAGCCTACGAGAAAATAAAGAATCCCTCCAAGCCATGAATCTTTTAGGAAAGCCAATTGTCTCACATCTCCGGTCTGTAATATATAACATAATATAATATAATAACATCTATTTACTAAAACTAGTAAAGTCACATATTTATTTGGACAGCCTTATAATCCAGTAGATAGATATGGTGTGTGTGTGTGTGTGTGTGTGTATGTGATAGTGATATGTGACATGTGATATGTGATATATGACATATGAAATATGACAAATCTATAACAATAACAATTAATATGGCGCTTGAAATAGCAGAATTAAAGAACTTATTGAAATGAAATAATTG